TCAACCTACTTACTTACTTACTTGGCCTGACGAAGCTCTTGTGTCAAAAGCGAAACGTTGCCCAGCAATAAATCCACCGATTGTTTACCAAACCCCTCTGAAAAGATTACACACTGGTTCCTACCGGAGCTGAAACTACTTCTTACACCAAAGGATATGAATTAGGTTCGATTGTGAAGAAGTAAATGACGGCTATAGCCATATCGGAGAGCTCAGAGGTTTGAAATCAAACTGTGTAGCTTAACTGTTCCTGTCTAAACTGGGTCAACCTGGCAGCACATCGGCCCTCGTACTTCCTTCGGGCTGCGTGGCAGCCATTTAAAATCAACATCCATAAAATGCATTGGATATAACTGGGCTGAAGATACAGGCACAATAAAACCGGTTTCAATAAAAGCATTCAGGGGACGCTGTTTATGGCATGTATTGATCGAAAACAATTATCCTGATAGGGTTTGTAAAATGACGCGGAATCATGATACAGGTCTTTGCACGTCAAATTGAAGTGATCCAGCGCGCTCACCCCGGAGCGTTCGCTGCGCGCGTCTCAGCCCGTCCAAACGATTGGCGATTGAAAAATCCAATCAGCAAGCGAACTTCACAAGTTCTAAAGACAGAAGACTAAACCGGTCAGTCCGGTAGTCACCAAGCTCCTCTTGCTGTCTTGTGAGCGAAACCAAATGAGCGGTGCAAAAGTGGTAAGCGGCCGAAAGCAGCATCTTCATTTTGGGCGCTGCTTCGGGTGGCAACAGGAGATAGAACTGGGATAGAAACCACAGCCCTGGTCAGTTGCCTGGTATTTATGGGAGACAGCACACGGTAGGCAAGTTAGTGGTGATGAGATCGGTCACACACAGCGCTTCTCCTAGCGAGCCAATCAGCGATTTGAATTCACTCATTTGCATGCAATGTTCGTTCTGTTTCACCAAGGTACTGCGCATTAAACCAGTAATTCCCAACAAACTGAACTCCGGAACAGTGGTCTGTGTTGCTCTACAACCCACTGTGCATAAAAACTGAGTGGATCTATCTGAGAAATGATAATAGATGTGGTCTCAAATAAACAATGGATCTTCGTTTTTTTATATGGCATGTACGTGTGACACTCGCGCGAACATATACTTATTCCCTGTTCAGGTGATACATGACAAATGCGAAAATCTCTGAAGCATAGATAGGTTGGCAACCAATAGGGTTTGCTTGAAGATGAAAGCCGCTCCACTAATTTATGCATCTCAGGTAAGTCACTGGATAGCAACAGTTTTGATGCGTTATACAAAAACCATACTCACCCTACAAGAGTGAACACAGTAAATGGAAGCATTTTCAGAAAGCTTGTTTCCCTTTGCTCCCATTTTGCTGTTCCGCGAGAACCGCGTTTCATCGGTCCACGTGTTGTACATAGTCCCAAAGTAAAAAATAGCAGCTGTGAAACATTCTCTAATTTTCAGTAATTGCGCCTAGTGTGACATTTATCAATAGTGCGCGCTTAGTGTAGACAATGAGTGGCCAAGGCTTTCATGAATAATTGCATGAATTCCAATCACCAGGCTTGAGTGTATCTCAGGGAACGAACGTAGGAATGCAGAAATATAAGCATTACACACTGTTTGACGCATTCATTCATCCTCATCCTCATCATCCTCATTATCATCATCATCATCATCAGCAGCAGCAGCAATATATATTTATATTAAAAGCCCTAGAGTGAAAAAAAGAGAAAAAGGTGGGTGAGGGAGGGGACCTAGTGCTGGCCTATGTCAACGTTTCCAGCCAAGTACAGACGGGGCCACGGGGACCCCACCCAAACTCTTCGTGATCTCTTTCACACCTTTCTGCCAAGTCATGTGCTGTCCACCTCGCGAGTTGAGCCATTTTGGAGGAGGCACGGAGAACAACACTCGTTATCATCATTATTTTTTCATCATCATCATTTCATTCATCATTATTTCATTATTTCATCAATGATGGAGTGGAATAAGAATAGAGAGAGTGGACATCCTTGTCGGACATCACTTTTTGTAGGGAAGTTTTTGGTGAGCTCACAATACCCTCTCACCCACCCAGAAGTATGTGAATATAGAGGTCAGTTTATGTTAAGAAAATTCTGGAGCATAATTTGTTGAGCAAGTGTATTTAAAAGTACTGATCGATCAACAGAATCAAAAGCACCCTTGAAGTCAAGGGATACCAGGATTGTGGGTCGTCTATACATGTGGTGTTGCTGTAACACCTGACGAAGTGTGAAGATGTGGTCAGTGCAGCCTCTACTGGGTCAAAATCCCGCTGCATTCTCACGAGTCAGGGCTTGGCGTGCCACCATAAGACGACGAAGATTCAGTGACGTCAGATGCCTTGTCACAACATGTTTCATACTCACACCTCTGTGGTTACTACATTCACTGTGACCACCCTTTTTAAAGTTGAGCACTACTATCGATTCACCCCAGTTGTCTTGGACGGTCTCCTTTTCCCAATCGCAGCCACCATAATACACCTAGTCATCACGATCGTTATATCCATCCCCTGCACTAAACAGTGCTATTTTCCCACCCACACCAGGCATAAAACGTTGGCAACTAGCTAAGTTTTGATTTTCAACTTAAATCTAACAACATATTTTTCCCCAGGATTCCTGGCTTTAGCTTAGTAACAAATGAACAAGAAGCGTAACCGGTGATACATCCTTTTGTTAGGATGCCCGGGCAAATTCATACTGGCATCTTGCAAACAAAAGTCAAAAAGTCAAATGTTATATTAGATATAGTGGAAATCCCTATGCAAGTATAAGGTTTTGGGTGAATTACTGATTACCTGCTCAGGTTTCCTCGTTGACCTTGGGGAAAATACATTCATCTAATCGCCTGGATACAAGCTTCAACCATCTTCTGGAGTTCAGTAATATCACGCCATATGAGTTACTCTCTACAATCACTTGGGCCGGCTGTAGACTAGCCACGGTAAATATCTAGAAGGAAATTTTTGCGCTCAAAATGTTTCCCATAGGTTCCAGGAATTTCACGAGATTAGATGAGCATACAGAAAAAAGGTTTAATAAATAGCCGCCCAGCTCGACCAATGCTGGCCGAGCGATTTCGCTTAAAGCTGCATTCGTGACAACAGCGCAACTAAGACAATCTTTATGGCCACAAAATGTGTGGAAGAAAATGGACCTATACGCAAAATGCACAGTGTGAAGCAGTATAAAGCTCCGAAAACAGGTAGCGCGACTCAATCAATAAATCCATGACAATCACAGGCTCGATTGTATATCGTTCAGTAGGCACGTCGGTGTTTTGTTTCAGTACAAACAATCGAATTTTCGTTCGGCTACATCTGGGCTAAATAAGCCAGTAGCTAACCAAAAAACCAACTCAATATTTTGTCTCAAAGGCTGATGAAGTGAAATTAAAGTTGATTTCTAGTTGTGTATTGTCATAAGAAAGCATACGAGCAAATGCTATTCAGCTTTCTTCCCAAATCCCATATCAGTACAGCCAAAATGATTTTAAACGCAGCTGCAAGTGACGCAGTTAGTGATGTGGCCAATTGATTACGCCCGCTGTGGTTGTAAACCTCTTGAATCATTCTATTTTGACGTAAAGAATCGCAATTTTTAATCCTGAGTTGTTTTAAAGATCGTACCGGACATTTGTTTTAAAGCAACACATGGAGGAGTCACGTTTTGGGTCAACTTAACCTGGAGAATTTATGGATTTCCGTGGAATGCTGAACTAAACCAATGCAGTCCGAATCCTCTCTGTTCACCAAATTCAGTGATTGCGGACGTGTCAGATATTCACTTAGTCTGAAGCTATTCTAGATGTATACAGTTGCGCTCGTCTACACCACTCGTCCTTGCACCAGATTTCGGAAATGATCACCTGATTGCAATGTCTGTGCGTACAAAGAACCACGTGGATAGACCTGTAAAGTTAAAGGAACTAAAAACAACACTATCTCAAATGCCAAACGACTAAGCTCCTAGAAATTATGCGCTGCTGCTCGCATTGTTAGGTTTTTGGGGGCTTGGACTACACATCTAATTCGATTCCACTGGAAACCTGAAGATATTAAGCAGAACCATGAGGACAGCACAACTGTGCCCCTACTCATAAAGAAAGACGAACAAAGAGTGTTCGAGCAGCCATCGCATTTTGCGGTGCTGGGCGCAACCAGATAGCATCATTTTGAAAAAAAGTGCCCGGAGAGCAGTATGAGCTTCGAGGTGAATCGAGCACCACAGGTTAATTTTTCTCGGTGAGAAACATACATAAGAAATCCTACGAACGAACTCATTCAGCTCACATTCCTTCTACTGAATTAACAAACCTAGGATACGAGAATCTTGAATCATCATGAACCATTTTTAGGAGTTTGAGGGATAAAAATATTTATCAGTCTTTAAAATCCTTTTAATTAGTGTCGAGCTTGTTGAGTTTACCTGTTAATTTCGGTAGAAACAGAAACCAAACAAGACTGTATTACGGCACCCACTTCATTCAAGTTGTGTTCAGCTAAAAAATGCATAGCAGCGTTTCAAAACTCAGATGGTGTTGTGACAATCCTTTGTCGTTTAGGTGGCAATTTGCTCGCCTCCGAAAGCCTCCTAGTCTTACGATGGTTTGTATGCTGTTTCCTTCCAACGGTTTTTACTGGCAGTCTAAAGTGAAATCACTGTGTCTAACGCCAACTGTCGTTACTGTCCTCTTTTGGCTCAAATGGAGAGATCGCTGAAGCGTCCACTTTATATCTACCTTTTTCTGAGGTGCATAGAAGTCTACTAGGCAGTTTAGGGAAAGTTTACTCTAAAACCCAGCGAGAAAAATTATGTTCCTACCGCACCACCATTTTCTGTTTATCGACCAAAACCATGGGGTTCCGCTTTCGACGGACCCACCACACTCACGATTCAGAACTTCTCTGCCTCATTTCGCAGCTTAGAGGGGTACATAAAAAACGCCTGGTATAAGAAAAAAACAGAAAGGATAGCAGCTCACCTTGCTTATACGCCTCAGAGACAGCCTTTACTTCATCATTCCATAGAGTGGCCAGTACTTCGATCAGCACTCGATCATTTGTTCCTAGACCTTTCATGGCATAATACAGCCCCTTAGCTAGAATGTAGGGCAGGTCATGGCAAAGCTCACACAGGACCGTTCGAAATTGTCCACTCGTGTCATCCTTTATGGCCTTTCTTAGTGGCTAAAATAAGGTAAGGAAACCAATGAAATTTCCCGATCACCCCAACTACGTTTCAAGAAAATGAACAGAATACATTAGGTGTACTTTACAATAAAGGTCTCACATATCTCAACCTCATGCCGCTCGGACACCAGGTCATGCATAATTGAGAATTTATCACTGATGACCTTCCCTGATTATTATCTCAGAGACCTTCTTGTCGGAAAATTCAATTTCAACCGTGTACATTTGGTGCACGCACCATTTTAGTACATCTCTGGCACTGGTAGCTTTCATTTAGGTAGACTACATTGAATTAGGCTGCGTTGAGGTCTATTTATGTCATCCTATGTTTCCCAGTACTACTCACTCTGAATACGACGTTGGCACAATTACAACTTATGTTATCAGATGGGGGTTCCCACCGACCGTGTTCTGTCAAGTACTGGGACTTACTGTCCGTTCACAAAACTTGGGGATGTTTTTTGTGCTCAACGTACTCCTAATGATACTCAACCTTCCCTTAAACGATGACTAACTAATCAATCCCAAACATTTTCATATTGGGATGAAGTGCATATTCACTAGTTCTCTAAAGCGCACATCAAGAATTCGAAGTTGAGGCTAGTCTTTGTCCTTTAGAGATTGTCGCAATTTTTACATAGTTCTTCCTTGCACGTTGACTACACTGGAGTCTGCCAATTTCAGTTAAGTTTCACCAATCCGTGATGATTTACTGTTTGAATCAACTTGCCTAAGGGAAACAGGCTTACTATCCAACAAAAGTCGAACTAATAACTTAATCCAGAGTTACTAAATCTTCTACTCTCGCTGTTTAGCAGCTCTTCAATACATTGTCTAGTATACTAACAGAAATCAGGCTCGGTTTTTACAAAACAGTCATTGTAAGGTTGTTCCTCCGCTTCTACATTCCTCGTAAATTCCACAACGATAATCCGTTTGAACACATACCTGATTATCAAATTCTGTGATCAATAGTCAGCTTGAGGAAAATCACTAATGCGTTTCATCAAGCGATTGGGGCTTGGCTCCATGTGCACCAACCTCCGCAACACACGGTTGAGCGAACTGACTGACTGTTTCGAATGCACGGTAAGAGTGAATTGTGTGTGTGTGTGAAAAAAAACGAGTATCAACGTTTGCAAAGATAAGATGTTTCAGTCACTACCAAGATTTTGGTGATCACTTTATCACGTAACTATGGCTTAGAGCCATAAGCGCTGGGAAAGTCCAAACTAGGGATATCAGTAGTCCTTTCTCCTTCGAAATAGGTATGAGTGCAGGCCTGGAAAGTTTTGATCGAATGTCTTTCTTCTACATCTGCCTTGTAAAAATCCAAAGGATGGTCCGAATAACTTGATTCCCAATAAAAACCCTTCGTATTAGCCAAAGTTTGACTCACCTTATGATAGAGGCTTTCGTAAGTGGCACATATTTGTTGCCTTTCATGGTTTGTTCTTCTTGCCAAAATATTGATAAGTGTGTCTTCATCAGTACCTGAGAATTTAAGGGGAATGTTGTGTGTTTCAAACTTGAGATTACACAAACGAAACCAGATAATGCGAAGACACTTACTAGCAGTGACTGGTTTACTGTACTCCTGGTAGGGGTAGCATGCGGACTCATCCTGTGCAACCAAATATGATGTAAAAAAGCAAGCTACATTTTGTCGCATTGAGCTTAATATACAGTTTTAAGAACTGTGTTATCTTTGCCTGAGTTTATACTTTCGTAGTAGTCTGAGCATTATGCCCTTTGTACTCAGCATTATTCGCAGTTAATAGAGAGAAAAGTTCGCCCGTTCAGACTTAGGAATGCACGTTCACTAATGGAATTGTGGTAACACGTTCGCCTCCTATGTCTGGCGTCCGGAGTTCAAACCCCGGCATGGCCAGCGAATATGCAATGCTGATGAGCTCTAATAAGAACGAAGTCGAGTCCAGTGCTTTTCCCCTTTGGTGTGGATTCACCAGAATAAGTGCACCAGGACAGAACGAATGTTCAAACGAGAGTGGTGCGAATGTGAAAAAGAGAGAAAAGTAAATAAGACCCACCAATATTCTTGCCTGCAAACCCATTCGGTTCTCATCTGAGATTCACCTAAATTCGGCAAAAGTTGTCCTTTATAACTTAATTGAATCTGTTGCACAAGGACATTTCCTGTTTCAGTTGGTCCGTTTTTCGACCTAGTGCACCATGTCTTCCTGAGTGTAACTACTAATAAGTTTACTGAAACTCTTTGAGGGCCGCGCCCCGTTTCTCCCTTATTAATGCTCTCCAAGATGGCTTAGTCCCGAGCTTTCCATCAGCCGGGTGTTCTACTCGAATATCAAGTTGTGTGCAACTGGTTAGATACATCCATTTGAAAACTATGCTAGGTTTAACGGGAGATTCACCTGTGTTTAAGCGATTTCCCCGACAACATCGTTCATGAGCATTCCTATTTAGATGAAAGGAACACTTGTACATTATCCCAAAATTAAATGCTCGACCAAACTGCTGTTGAGCTCTGAAACTGCTTCCTCCAACAAGCGAGGCCTTCACCTATTTGATAGACCTCAGACAAGGCGCAACCGTTGGTGACTACCTGAGGGGTGCGAGGAATCCTCCCATACTGCCTGATACATGGAACATTTTTTTGTTTCTTACACTTATTCACATCACTCGCACTTAAACACTACTTCTCTTGTCCTGGCACAACTATCTTACTGGGTCCTCACTTGCTGCAGGCTTGCTCTTCTCAGAGCTCATCTGTAGTGCATATTTCTGGTGGTGACATTCAGTTTGGTCGAATTTGCAAATGAGAAACTTTTGCGAATTTCGTTCAACTTAGCTTCATGTGGAAGGATATTCAGAGACTATGCCATCTTGATGAGCCCAAAAAAATAAAAGATCGGTAAAAACGAAAAACTATGGCGACGTTACCTGCACCCTTCATTGCTCGATGGAGGCGCTCTGCATCAGCAGACGCTGAAAAACCTGGTGTGGACTCAATCGTCGGTCGTAGCATCGTTCCATCAGCCCCCAATCTGTGGAATAACGAGCGTTGAAAGCCGAATCTAGGAAAAGAAGGAACAAAGAGAAGGTGCAGATAGTTATTCAATTACAATGTGTCCACTGACATACTTCTTTCTACCCACACCAAAGATCTAACTCACTAATTTTCATTGTTTTCACTCAGCAGGCTTCATAAAAACCACCAAGTGGAGACCGCCTAAATAACTAACAAGAACTTTTCCACGACCAGTTTTTGATGAACGCAGTTTCTAATCGTATAGAAAGGTTTTTCTACACAAAGGTAGTAGATCCTACTTCATTTATCGCTGTTTTTGGGTCAACTTTCGCCTGATGAAACTCTTACCAGATCTATCTTGCTTTTTGAGGCGATTGTGTCCCTAACCCACTCTTCCGACGAAATCTAGCAGAGGTGATCCAACACTGAATAAGTTGCATAGTGTATAGTCAGAAAATACTACTCGCATGCTGAAGAACGAAAGTAACGACAAGATATCGAATTCATTCGAAACCTACTCTCCTCACTCGTAAGTTCAATGTTCACTGCTGGTGAACTGTGATATGTATCCCGTATCAGAAAAAAATTCGATCAACTTTCTCTACTGTGAGCTTGTGCAGGCATAGGTTGAACACATTTTACATCTGTGTATTTCTTTATCACTTCGTGTTTTCTTGGCCTGTTGATAGCAAAATCTGAGTTTTTACGCCACATTCACTGTTCTGTTTGCTTCACAAACATGGCTGAATTAGATGTGATTGTTTCGGTCCTACTCACTAGACCAAGTCGTGGCTGACTGTATGTCAGCGTTCTGCTGAATTACTATAAACGGAAAAGTAAGTTGAATTGGATCTCTTCCAAGCGCATAGATATAGACGTTGTTTAAATGTGAAACCTGGGAGTCCTGGCTTGACAGACCAAGCGGAGAAGTTGATCCTCTACAAAAATTGCATGCGAGCTGGAAACATCTGGCTGATAGCTTGATGAAGTTGTGTAACGGCCGTCCTCTTTTAGCAATGCGGGTGAAATTATTATTGAAAATCCACCAGTAACTCGTCACATTTTGTTAGTTTCTCGAACTGAATAATCAGTAGGGAGGATAAGGTGAGCACGAAAACTTACCCTGAAGCAGATGCCATTCTTCTTGCGTGGATGAAGGAGCTCGACTGTAAAATATAAGTGGTGACAGTAGTAACAGCTTATCAAGCAGCAAGATACGGGTTACGGATAACATGTGGTCATCTTTAGGATGGTTACTAAGAATCGTGAAGGAAATAGTTGTGATCAGCGAGGCACATCGGAACAAGATGCACATTTCGGAGATGAACACTATTCAGCATTACTGATGAAACAAAGCCATCTGACCGACAACCTAGGCCAACAGCGTATGCTTTTGTGTACAGATAGATACACATACCACAGAGCCCCTATCCCAGCTATTTTCATCAAGACACCAAGAGGTCGTTTTGGAGTTCCATCGAAAGGCTTACAGTGCACTGATTGTTATGTTCAGCGATGGTTTAGGAAACTCTCTAAAAGAGATCCCCTCCAAGAAAACCGTCAAGATGCTGCAGGATTGGCGCATGGGTAGATGGAGTAGTTTGTCTCCGAAACAATCAAGTAAAACCTGGGTGCACAACTGGACAATGACAACGTCACACAACTACCTACGTCTGGATGAGCCAAGCTACCTTTTCAGTTAACATTTATACACCCAAGATGTCGCAATTGTAAACATGATGGTTTGAACTCCTTTTAAAGTAAGCCCTCCAATTTGTCCAGAATACAATGAATCGGTTCCAAATTCCTTATTTGGCTATACTGCTTGGGAACAACCCGGCTTTTCTTCAAAATCTGCATAAGCTCTGATACACCTAGGCATGGGTGAGAATGTAGTTTTTGAAGTGGGGAACAGAAAAATTCGGCCACTACACAGCATAAGCTTCGATGGTAGAAAAACCTTTTGAATGTACTCTGAGCTAGCCCTAACATTCAGAATAAATGATAACGCAGAGTAGATTGTACCGTCATTGCAATATAGACTCTCCAATAATGTGGAACACAGTGGCTGTGATACCGTAGAAATTTTATACAGAACTAACGCCCAAGCATTGGATTGCCTAACAAAGAAACCGGGTATTTCGAAGGGCGATTCTTCAGTTCACATCCTCGCATTTTCGTTCCAGGGGGCATGGCGGCATATGTGATCCTGTCCCCTGTGGATGCTGTCCTAAACTAGAATGTTCATTTTCACGCCGCATTTTAGAAATAAGTCTAGTAGTTTTGCTACTCTTCGATGGATTAACCACTTTGAATCCGGTAATCTTAAAGGGCATAGGTCGTACTCATTCAATCCCCAATCTCGCGAAACCGACATCATTGTTCTACGTTCTCACAATGACAGCCACAAGTAACTTATCAACACATTTTCCCAGGCTTTGCCGTCGGACAAACAGCGTTCACGCGGCACATGTGACAGACAAAGATGCATTGATCGGGTAAGCATCAGCGACGGTATTGTGTGCAGACGTTTGATTGTGACAGCACAACGTGCATTCTGTGGTGATTGCATTCTGATGTTATTCAGTTGCCTAAATAGTGTTTTTTCTTTGTTTTGTCACCTTGATGGGTAAACTTATAATGCGTCTGTCTCATTAGTCGAGATAGGAGAAAAATATATTTATTTGAAAACTACTGACATTTGCAGAAGTGTGTCGTTCTGACAGGAAGTTGAGCTGAATCCAGCTGAATTTACGGTATATGGTGGTCTTCTTTCAAATTTCAAAGTGTTAGAAGAAGCTTCGTCTACAGCTCACCTGGTAGACCAAGCAAACGGTGTGAACTGCCTATTTTCAGGGCTATTTCTCTTTTAAGCAAAGCAAGAAGAACTACGTGACGATCAAAATAACTAGCTGCAATCAACTGTGACTACTGTATGGAAAAATTCAGGCTTACAAACTTTAGGCGTTGTTAGTCTTGGGGTCTGGTAAAATTCAAGAAAAAAGATCGTACAAAAGTGGCACTTATTTGTCTTTTCCTGTCGGCTCCATAATATTTAATACGTTGGAGGCCCGTTGAGTGCTGACGCAGGCCTATGGTTGGCGTCCCAAAGCCGACTTAAAAAAATTGCGTAGTGAAATGTTGACCGATAACTACTGCCTATAAATCAGTCTATTGATTTTCCCTTTGGAAAGGAGCTGAGACGTTCTAAGGAGAGATATGGTTAAAATGTCGGCAAGCTCCGCAGACACTCAACGACAATGGAGAATTATATCCAACAGGTATGAAACATTCAAAGCGCCACCCGATCAGGAATTTCTGACACTCAGATAATGGACACTGACTTGGCCAGAAATCAAAGCGTTGGGTAAACAAATCAAATCGTTCAAAATGATTACATCCTGGCTGGCTCATACTCTGTGAGTTAAGTCTGTTCAACGGGTGCCGGTAGCAGTACACTCGCTCTGCATGTAGGAGGTTGAGAGTTCAAATTTTGGGACCGATTCATAGCAGCTTAAAACTAATAGGGGTGAAACTAGAATACCGTGATAGTTACTTTCGTATGCTAGCAAAATCATTGGGCTTGAACAGGATTTAAACTGTTAAAATAAGAGTGACGGGCATACAACATTAGCAACAATAAGGTATCACATAAACTAGGTAACGTATCGTAGTTACAACAAATTAGCTGAAGTTCCTCTCACTACTCAGTGTTTTTCGAAATCATTAAGAGCACACACTTTCAGACGGATAAAGTACAGCATAAATAGTCAGCTGTTGGATTCGTGGTGGAATCCTAGAGATCCAATGCGTAGTATTCGGAAGTGGCCAAGGCTTTCGACTGCCAGTAATGTTTGGGACGTGAAATGTTATAAGCGGCACCACCACAGTGCCTATGAAATATATCATTTAAGATTTTCCCCGAAAGATAAAATGTTCTTTTGACTAGGCGATTCAGAAATCCTCTATTGTAGTCACTGTGCGCACAAACTGCCTTTGGAGACCTAACATGAGACACCCAAGTTTGACGTGCCTCGACAAGGGCACGTATCACCTGATCAATGTGCATGTTTACTGAACATGCTGTGATACTAATATTTTTATTCCGATCATTAATTGCGCAGAGTCTAGCCCGTTGAAAAAGCTCTGAAGACCATCCGATATTGTATTATTTTTGCTGAGATTGCTCAATAGTTCAAGCCACACGAAATTTTCGTTTTATTGTCGATGTTTCGGATTAATACTACTCCAGGTTGAGTTTTTGCTATACTCACGGGTCCCAGTCCGAAAAAGAGACTGCCCGTCTGTTAATGCAAAGCTTTCCATTAATGTTTTAATGGGACTGGGTGAGAAATCCGCAACACACTGGCTACATTGAGAACTAAAATATGGTGGTTGATTGCTTCACCTTTGGTATGACTGTTTGTAACCAATCCATCTTCAAATTTCTTCATCCAAGTCAATTACAAGAGACAGGATGAACGTAAAGCTATGTGCGCCCACTTGTCGTACACGATCAGCTTTGATTTTTATGTGGTTTCAGGCTCTGTATTTCAGAAATACTGCATGCTGAGCGGAACTTAAATTACTAAAGATGTCAGTTTCAGCCGTTCGCATGGTACATTGCAAGGTAACCTCCAAAATATGAGAGAACGCTTACTGTATGTTTTCAAGAGTAAAATAGCTTTAACCTTTCTAATAAGAGTGCTAATTAGATGTGCGCGTGTGCACCAGTCATTCTTGCTTGTCAAGGCAGTATTCATTTGTTCTGTATCGATTATTTTTTCTGCTCTTGTCTGACTAAAATCTGTGCACCAGGTTGGTTCCATTTTGTTCATGTTGTCGCTTTGAACCGGGTTGAAGTTGAAACCGGTCACTCAAACAGGAAGTAAGCTACAGAACCAGGGGGAGGTCATGATAACAGTAAGGAATGCTCAAAATTCGGGCAAATTTACAGAGGCCCAAGCAACTGATTCTTTGCCAGTGTGAATCAAAGCTTCAAACATAGAATAGTATGCGGATTGGGCTATGACGAGATAAGAACTGTCAGGACGACGCAAATTAGGAAGCAGCTATTCAAGAGATCACTTCCTCTTGTTTCGCTCGTTCAGTATTACTTCAAATGTCATTTTTGAATGCTTGTATCGCAAGCAAACTACCGTGAAGATCTATCATTAGAGCAGTAACTCGATCGCTCAATGCTAAGAAACCCATATTTCTATGCAATTAAACAAATACAAAGCAAAGATTAGGATTGCAATGTAACCTCAACTGACCTGTGAAATGAGCAAAACGTGCCGTTTACCACAGTGGACAAGTGGTGAAGACGGTAGTTTAATAATGTACCGTATGACTGTATTCCAGTGCAACAACACGTTGCTGCATGATATCATAGTGTTAAGTAAGATGGCTAGAGTATGATCAGCTTCCTGATTTGGTTAGGTCGATAAAAGCACGTGACGCAGTGATTCTTAGTTCTGCAAAATAATACAACTAGAGTAAATTAGTCTATAGTCAATTGTCGTGGAGGTTGGGGAGCTCGGTTGGTTGCAGCACTTTGTTCTTGAGCTTGTTCTTCACTTGAGCAACGCATATTTGGATATCTTAAGGTTTATCAGAGCTTTTCTATACCATATTAGCTCTACTGAACCGAATTCGATGGGACCTGGTTGCTTACGTGTCTGTTTGTCTAGATATTCATGCTGTTTGCAATATGTCTAACTATTGATGGTTCGAGTATTTTTATTGGCTGTGGATCATGTGGCAGTTACTCCGCTCACCAGGCACGCGAACAAGCGCGCAAACACTTTGTCACCGTCGTCGGTACGCGAATGGGTTGGTAATTCCTCCATTTCTGCCTTAGCGCAACCTCAAGTGCTTGATGGGTTTTCGGGATTTCAACAACAAACTGATCACAAACGAAATTCATACCGAACTAAAAGCACGAAGACTAGTGAACCATGTAGTCCATGGACATCACGTCCATAGTGTATATCGGCATAACGTTCTAGGTGAGCTGTGATCCTTGTTTCGGATTCGGGTTTTGGTTCTGTTATACTATCCTTGTAGTATCATTTTTATCACATCGATAGTTCAGACAAACTGGATGTGTAACCTAAAGAAGTGGCAGGAAATTCGCAAAGTACACTTATTCGCACACTAATCTGGTTTTCACGAGAGACAACTGAATCCAAGGTGAATCTGTCGTTTGTGATATTATGCGAAAATTTTTTGACAATCATCTGAGTGGTGTTCTTTCAGAGAAAGGTAAAAGGAAAACTTGCGGGGATAACAAGTGGTTTCATAAAAAATTATGTAGCTGCATTCAGATGAAAAATGGAGCTCCGCGGACGGTGAAAGTCTACAGTAACGGCAACCTTCAGAAGAATTTGTAGAAAAAGCTGAGTATCAACATCCGACCTCAGTGAGTACATGAATAACAGATGTCCACAAACTGGTTAGTTCTAAACACTACAGCATATCCAGGATAGTATTGTCTGGGGCCTGGATGGGAATGTAGGATACTCAATCATTGTCGCTATTTCCACTGACTAAGTTTCACGAGAGGATTAAATTCACTTAAATATATGTTACATATTTTATGGCCTCACTGCAATGCAAACATTCTGCCGGAAGAACAGTAGCTACATACAGACAAACAAAATAAGCTCCAACATTCGGGACATTACTTTGGTCCTTACACAATTAAATGGTTGAAAGGGCCTCAATAGACATTAAAATATTTCGGTATTCGTTATCAGAGTGAAATGCAGTGGCGTACACAGGAAGGAACTAATGTTTTCAGGACAATGCTTTTGCTGGCTTTCTTTAATAACTAAGGAAAATTTCAGTCTAATGTCGTGAAAATTATTTGTGCTTCCTGAGTACAATATTCACTTGTATACACATACAAACTTGGCAAAAAGCCACACTAGTTGACCATAACTAAGGAGTAGAGGCAGTCATTATGGTGGCGTAATAAGTGTAGCATCAGAGTGCGAGGGAGAAATCAAGTCGAACACATCTGAGAGTTACTAAAATGAAGTCAGCCGAGTCGACGCAAGAAGTGCTTTGCATAATTACGGGTGAATTTTCAGGATACGGAATTACAGCGGAGTTAGAAAGACATATGAAGGCATTGGGGAGGAAAAGGGGAAAACACGCAATCGCTGTTGTATGTGGATTGTCAATCCAAAACCACAGCCTATAACTTTCTAATTTGGAAGGACACAAACGCCTATTTGTTTAGTTAGTTTTTATCCACCGACCAGCTTCAAAAGGAAGCTGCGAACTATTTCAGTAAATATGAAAAATCAACCTTTTTCTGAAATCCCCAAAAATTATTGCACACCTTTTCTTGTGCGACGGACCACTGGGTAAATAGGATTTTGTTGCAGCGTAGGATTTGTACTGCAAGACTAACGAAATCCGACTACATGTTCAATTTATGCTAATTCCATCTAATGTGATTCCAAAACAACTAGAAATCCACTTACCGTGCGACACAAAAAGGGAATCGGACGCGACTGACAAACGGTTGTCGCAATGTTTATCGCACCAATACCAGCGAATTTCACTTGCATCGATCATGATGTGAGCCAATCAGGGGGATCCCCCAAGGTCGAGGGCGATTTTTCGTCACAGCTATTGGCGAAAACACTGTTGCCTCTACTGGACCGCCGTTTCGTCCGTAATGAGTAAACAGCGAAATTTATGTCGAGTTTTGCTGTGGGATAGGATATACGAATCATATGCTTTCTCGGCTTGCTCAAAGTTTACTGAAACCCTTCTTTTGCAAGATAGGCATCTGTTAAAGAGAGAATTGGATCTTCTGTGGGATTTCCACTGAGCCTGTGGTGAGAAGGGATGACGGTTTTTTTCGTTTCATGCATCTTACCTCCATTATTTTCTAGTTAAAGTAGTTGCTCCACAGCCCAAAGCAGATTAAATCATTAGAAGTATGAATTCAGCTATATCCCTCAGAGAATTCCACTCAATTGTGACTGAAGACGAAGTGTGCATTAAACGTTTAACATGGTCTGAAAAATGAGCCCCGTCTTTAGGATCCACCTGATTTGTAGCAGACAAATTAACTTACAGGACAAAATCCACATTTTCTCATACAAAAATATATGATACATTATAATTCCATATTTTTAATGGAAGCGAATAAATATACAATTTGTATCGCTCGGAACCATATGGCCAAGTAAGTTGGTGAGTGTGTTGTTAACTTGTAATAATCAATCGCGCGATCAGTTTGCTTTGTTTCTGGTTCAGAACTACCGCAAAATAGAGGAAATCAAATATGATTAGATACGGATTTATCCTGTGGAGTTAGTTTTCCACTGCGTAATGCTGACGCTAGCGTTTTCGACGTAGCTGATGAGATTTAAGCGACCGGTATTTTGTATTTAACAAACGTTGATCTTGGTAACGTAACGT